CAGCTGGGTGGGTGTGGCTAGGTGGTCATGTGACTGGGTGGGCGTGGCCAACTTGATGTCACTCACATGGAAGGGTGCCTCACCGGCCTCTACTCACCCCTCTCCTCCCAGCCACTCCTCTCCTGCCTGCCCGGGCTCCTTAGCGCCCCAACAGGAAGCAGTTGTTGGAGCTAAGCAGCCACCATGAGAAAGAGTTGGCAAAAACAGCTGGCTCTTGTTCAGATTGGATCTAACCAAGAAGGAGGCTCAGCAGAAGCACCTCACTGAGGACTACGAGCATAGGCTTTCCAAGCAGAGGGAAAACCTGCGGGAGTGCAAGGCCAGGTACCGGCATCTGGAGGCTCAGTGGGCTGAGATGGTCAACCAGTTCCAGGCCATAATGCAGTCCCACTGGAACAAGGTCCTCCGGCTCTTCGCAGTGCTTCCCTCCAGCCTTTGCCCAAAGCCCTGCACCAGGAGGCTGAAGCAGACCCCAAGTCAGAATTTCTGCCCACAAAAAAAGACCCCAGAGGGGGAGACTCTCTGCAGCAACACAAACGTTCATTGCACGTATCTGTCCCAGGGGCCGTAGTTTGAGGACCCCTGATTTAGTGCAATATAAAAAAATGCAAATAATTTTTCTGCAGACCACCAAAATTTACTCACGGACCACCAGTGGTCCACGGACCACCAGTTGGTGGCCGCTGTTGTAGAAGACTAACATGGTTGGGGATATCTGAATCTCTGGGGGATGCTATCCCATAAGGCAGGTCCTGCTGTCAAGAAGGCAGAACTCCAGGGTCCAGCAAGTTGGTATTATTTGACAGAAGAGACCCAGAAAATGTCCTCTGCTAGATTTGGTGGGACAAGCAGAAACAATAGGAGAAAGGCAATCTTGCAAATATCCTCACTCTTAAGCCACGGAGAACTTTATAGGTGGTGACCAACACTTTTTGTATTGTACCCGAGGCCTGCTGGGCCCAATCTGCCTAGCTTCCAAGTGTCTTAAAGGTGCTTTTTCAAAAGACAACTGGACTATGTTTTTTATCCTTTTGAGGAAGAAGGAGATGTTTTGCTTCTCATCCAAAAAGCTCCATCAGTTTTGAGGCCTAAAGCAGCTAATGGCAGTATTTTCAATTTCAACATCTCTTGACTTCTTAATTTGGTCCTGACACATTAACAAGTTCTGAAACTCCCAAATGACTTGTTGTATTGAATAATGTCTTAGACAACTTTAAATCTTTGGCTGATTTCCATAGACAGTTGAAAATTACTAAAATTGCTTCTAAAATTACTACTAATATCGTTAATTTTCCAAGGGGTTTGAAAGGAAGAGTTGGATTGCCATGTTTTAACAAATCAACACTCTTGCCTTTTTTTAAAAAAAAGTTAAATACGTCTTTTGTGATCTTCAGATGAACAGTGTCATCTGAAAAAGATTCTTTTTCATTATGTAAATCAGGAGATGCTGAAGAAAGATTGAGTGTCAGTATTTTCATGTTACAAGTAAAATGTATTTGAAGGGATGTTGACATACATAAATTGGTTCTGCTCTGTGGTTGTCACATTTTGGCTTAATATCCACATTATTTTTAATAGAATTTTGAGAATTCTATTCTGAATTTTGAGAGGGATAGAATCAAGATCATGCGAAGTTATAGTACCGCTTTACAAAGCCCTATTAAGACCATACTTGAAATACTGCATCCAGTTCTGGTCACCACAATATAAAAAAGACGTTGAGACTGGAAAGAGTGCAGAGAAGTGCAACAAGAAAGATTGAGGGGTTTGGAGGCTAAAACACATGAAGTATGGCTGCAGGAACTGGGTATGCCTAGTCTAGAGAAAAGACGGACTATGGAACACATGATAGCAGGCTTCCAATATTTGAGGGGCTCCTACAAAATGAGGGAATCAAAACAGCAGATGGAAATCAGGGGTGGGTTTTAAAACCCATCGCGACCTGTTTGCTTGTGGGTGCGTTTTGTTCATGCGCAGAAGCTTCTGCACATGCACAGAAGCGTCCGGGCGGGTGGGCAGAGCCTCCCTCCCCCGCCGCTACCAGTTTGCCTAATCCCGGACAAACTGGTAGCAACCCACCACTGATGGAAACTAACCAAGAGAAAAGCAGCCTAGAACTAAGGAGAAGTCTCCTAACTGTGTGAGTAATCAGCCAATGGAACAGCTTGCCTTCAGAAGTTGTGGGTGCTCCATTACTGAAGGGCTTAAGAAAGAGAGTGAATAACCATTTATCTGAAATGGTATAGAGCCGTGATGGAGAACCTATGGCATGCGTGCCACAGGTGGCACACGTAGCCGTATTGGTGGGCACGTGAGCTCAGCTCTGGCGCACATGCATGAGCCGGCCAGCTGATTTTCAGGCCTTGTGGGCCCACCGGAAGTCGGCAAATGGGCCATTTCCAGCCTCCGAAGGGCATCGGGGGGTGGGGGGTGGAGATGGCCGTTTTTGCCCTCCCCAGGCTCCTAGAAAGCCTCTGGAGACTGGGGAGAGAGAAAAGTGGGTCTACCGGGCCCACCATGCCATCGCGTGCCAAAAGCGGGGGGAGCATGAGGGGGTTGCGCGCGCGCGCATGCATGGGAACAAGTCGCATAGAATTATGGGTTTGGGCACAGACGACCCCCACCCCACCCCGTGGTCCCCCCCGGTTTTGGCACGTGATGGCAAAAAGGTTAGCCATCACTGGTATAAAGTCTCCTGTTCAAGCAGGGGGTTGGACTAGAAGACCTCCAAGGTCCCGTCCAACTCTAGTATTCTATGTTCCAAGAGAAGAGAAATAAGGATGTGATGCTGAATAGCATGCCCCCAAATAGGTATGTATCAATTTATAAAGAATTTTTGCACTTAATTTTGCCATTTTAGAAAAGAAAAAAAACCTTCCAGACTTAAAATCCTGGACTAAAGAAATATGTTCACTCTTACCTTTATATTGACTCTGTTAATGTAATGGAAAAAAAGAACTTACTTCTCTTGAACTACACATTTTAATTCTGCTTTTTTATTACTGGCTTTTAAGAGTTGCCTTAACTCTTTAGGAGAACTAGACATTAAATAAATCTTGCCCAAGTGGATCTGTTGTAGATATGCTGGACTTCAGTTCCCTGCATTTTTAGCTGGGCAAGATTAACCATGGCAGAGAAATTACCAAGTTTCAAAACACCAATTCCAGAAGAAGCCTGAAGGTCAGTTACGAAAAGGGGGAAATGTTATTAGATGGACCTTCCGTTTGATCTAGCAGGACAGCTTTGACATCCTTCAGAGAATAAAAATAAAACAATTTGGACCTGAGTGGCTAGCTAATCTCTCATGCTGTAGAAGAAGAGCAGGTTGAAATGGAAGGTGAGATTAAATGTGTCATCACTTCGGAGTCATTGCGTTGCCACAAGAGACTTCAGTCCAGCCACCCTTGAATTCTCTTGACCCTTATCTAGCACCAATTTCGCTTTGACCATTAGTTGACTATATTCTTGTCTATAGGGGTCATGGCCTCATCGGATCCTGGTTCGGAGGAGGAGTTGGAACTGGGACCATCCGATAAGGATGGCACGTCTCCCCTGGAGAGGCCAGGGGCTGAGAACAATGCTGTCCCAGGCCCCTCAGGCATTGGGGGAGGTGGTCGACCGGATGGGGAGCTGCCTGCCCTCACAAGCACAGGGGAGGATCAGCAGTGGGGATCAGAGGCAGCAGTTCCCATCTGATGAGGAACAGCTGCCTCCCCCATCAATCCAAGGGCACTGAGGGAAACTGAAAGGAAAGCTGCTCGGGAGGAGGTTGCCTGGCCCCTCCTCACAAGGAACACCTGGCTTGGGTTGATTTAAGCAAAGGCTTCAGGAGGGCATCTTTGTTGGGAACAATTGTTTTGGCATGCATTTCCCCGGCCTTGGAAAACACTCTGCTTTGACTTGTGTTTCTGCCTGAGCCCTTTGTCTCGCAGACTTGCCTTGCCTTGTGGACAGACCTTATCTGGCTTGGAGAGCTGCCAGGCCGATATCTTCAAAACTTGGCAAGGAGTCACAAACCAATTAAGCGAACTAATTGTCTCCTGCAAACTCCACTCCCCTTTCGCTCCTCTTTTATTCCCTCTGGGAGGGGCTGTTCATCGTCCACCTGTGGCCTTACTCCCAAGTCGACCCTTGTTCTTTAGCTGTTCCCTTCGTCTGGCAACTCTGCGCATGCACACACTGGGAACAGGCTCCAGCTATTCATCTGCCTCAGTGATGTCTAACTCTGAAGGCAGCTGATAACTGGCATACGACCCTGGCCCCCTCTCTGCCTCCGACGCAGAGCCCTCATCAGAGCCTTCCCCAGACTCCAGGACTGGCCCATGTTCCTCCCCAACCTCCTCACTGTCCGAATCTGCTGCCAGCTCTGCTGACCGCTAGCAGGCCACAACACCCCATACGTGGCAGTTCCAATACATGCTTGACTTAACAAGCCACCATAGTCAAGCAGGCAATTCTGGTGTCAACTCTGAATCGAATCTGGCTGAAGCCATCTTGTGCTGCTTCACAGTTGCCACACACTTTGGGGGGGAGGATGAGGGGGAAAATAGCTAGACCGTCTCATAGACAAAATAAAGAGCATGGGAACCAAGGTCATCCCAACAGATGGCAGTAGGAGGAGGAGCAGAAGTGCTCAAGGGAGCCCACCAACTGCTTTGATTGGACAATGTGATCTGTGACACCTGGGGAGGGAAACATTTGCTCTTTTAATTACATGGTAACCACAGGAAACTTTTAGAGTTGGTTTTCACTGGCTGTGCCAATATGATGTGTCCAATAAACATGTTCTCTGAGGAACATTCTTGCCTTAGAGTTCTGATTTCTTTGGATGCGTTACTCGGAACGCTGACAATCTGGTCTATCATTTCCCTAAAGTCTACACTACTGAAATCTGCAGCCAATAATTGTCATGTTATAGGATTTTGATTTTACCAATTTTGCTCCTTTTCATTGCCACTCCCTTTTGCAAGCTTTTTGTAACTTTCCCATCATTCTGACAGGTGACCGAAGAGGAAGAGTCCGCTAATCACACCGTGATGATTCAGGAAACTTTGCAACCGACTTCGCTGGAGTTGTCCGAGCAGCACCATTTGGTGGTCTCCTCAGATGACATGGAAGGCATTGGGACAGTGACCGTTTATACTCAGGGCGGAGAAGCCTCAGAACTGATTGTTTATGTGCAAGAAGCTCTGCAGCCGATAGAAGAGCAGGAGCAATCTGGACAGGACATCTAAATCAAGTCCTCCGGGCAGGTAAGCCTCCTGGCACTGGATGATGACATATTGCAAGCCATTTGGGGAAGATACCCCTGAAGTTGGCATGGCAAGAGTTGGTACATTCCAACGACTCTCTGATTCTCTGCCTAACTAGTTTTTCTCTGACTGATGAAGTTGCTTGGATGAGCAACAAAACATTTCAGATTTGCAAACTTTTGGTCCAGTTGCCATAATTCAACCTTTAGACACCTCCTGACATTGCTAAATTATTTCCCAGTGTATATTTGACAGCAAGCATAAAAGGTGCTTCCTGCAGCTACTAATCCATGGTGTGTTTCACTCCTGGTAGATGTGAGGGTGGCAATTGATTGGACTCCAGGTAGTCCTCGGCTTACGACCACAATCGGGACCAGAATTTCCATTGCTAAGTGTGGTGATTTGATAAGTGGTTACTGTATTTTTCGGACTATAAAACAAACCTAAATTTAGAAGAGGAAAACAACAAAAAAAAGTTTTTGGCCTCCGCGCACTCCATTTTCGGGCCTTTTTTCAGCCATTTTCGGGCCTTTTTTCAGCCCATTTTCAGGGCTTTTTTTGACCTGTTTTCAAGGCTTTTTTTGACCCATTTTTCCAGCCCATTTTTTGGGCTTTCTTCAACCTGTTTTTGAGGCTTTTTTGGCCCATTTTTTCAGCCCATTTTCGAGGCTTTTTTGGCCCGCTTTTCCTGAAAAAAAGGCCATAAAAAGCCTCAAAAACAGGCCTGAAAAGCTGAAAAGAAGACCAAAAATGGGCCGTGCAGAGGCAGCAATTGAGTGGGGCTTCGGCAATATTCAGTCTATAAGCTGCACAGACATTTTCACCCCCTTTTGGGAGACAAAAAAGTGCATTTTACAGTCCGAAAAATACAGTATATGACCTCTTTTGTCATAGTTGTTAAGCGAATCCCTGCGGTTATTATGCGAATCACATGGCCGTTAAGCAAACCCAGCTTCTCTCATTGACTTGGTTGGAAGCCAGCTGGGAAGATTGCAAGTGGGCGATCACATGACCCCCCAGGACACGGCAACCATTGTAAGTACACGCTGGTTGCCAAGCACCTGAATTTCGATCATGTCACCATGGAAACGGTGCACTGGTCATCAATGTGAGGACCGGCTGCAAGTCACTTTTCCAGTGCTATTGTCACTTCGAACGGTCGCTAAACAAATCAGTGGTGGGTTCCTCCTGGTTCGGCCCGGTTCGGCCGAGCCGGTAGCAGTGACGATATGACATCACCGATCCGGTTCTCTTTGTTCGGGAGCTGGGCCCTCCTGCCCCCCCACGTTATTCTTACCTTTTATTTGGCCCCGCCCCCAATCTATTCGCTGCCTCCCAAGTCCCAGCTGATTGGCTAGAAGGAAAAAAACTGTTTAAACTCTTGCCGCGGGGCTTCAAAGGGCCGCCCTACAGCTGATCAGTAGATTAAAAGGCAGTGTGGTGGTAGACCGGTGCTTCCAAAAACAAATGAGTAGACCGGTGCCTGCAAAAATAAATGGGTAGACCGGTGCCTCCAAAAACAAATGGGTAGACCAGTACAGCTCTGCAAGCAATAGACCAGTACCTCTGCTAAATTCTAAAGAATTGTCACATGACCATCAAGCCACGCCCACAAAATAAGCCACACCAGTAAAAAAAAATTAGAAGCCATCCCTGAAACAAATGGTCGTAAGTCGAGGACTTCCCCTAATGGCTTTTCGCACACACTGAGCCATGATCCATTTCTGGTTTTTTTTTTTTTTTCTGTTTTTTGTTTTTTTTTAAATGCCTTTTTTCACGAATCTCTCCCTTTCTCCCAAGGAACTCAAGAGATCACAGCCTCTTATTACACCGATCCCGGTACCTTCTTTGGGGATCAAATAAGCATCCTGAACAAGCATCTGTGCGAGGAGACCCCAGCTAACAAACCAAGAGGAGTGATCATTGGCAAAGTGCCAAGGGGCTCGGTTAAAACTATCCGGGTGTGTTGTATGCACTTTAAAGAAAACGGCAGCGTTTTAAAAAGACTCTCTTAATCACAATTTGAAAAGCTTGTTGAGAAGGCAAAAGGACAATCAGGCAAAACAGAAGGCTCAGGCAGTGTAGCTGCTTCTAAGGATAAAGCGCCATACCTTACTTTCTTCCTATCCCCGGTTTGCTTCTAGAAAGAAATCACTCTTTTAATCTTCTAAAGGAGCTTTGCCTTTGTGAGTTTCGAAAAACCCCAGAACGTGATTTGAGTTTTCAAAGACTCGAGAATGTTATCCAAAGGAACTCTTTTAAATCGTTCATCTTTTAATTTCACCTCCTTCCAGTTTCTCAAGGATGCAAGGAACTGCCACCGTAGTTTTCCCAGATGCCCTGGTTCCTATTAGAAAGGAAATGTTTTATTATTATCACGTATTTGAGGCACATAGATTGAAAAATAATCTGGGAAGGCTGAGGAGGTTCTGACCATCCCTGAAGTTTTATTCTGCTTTTCCTCCCTGTTCCCCTTTGCAAGATTACAACGGTGTTTTTCAGAAGTATAAAAAAATGTGGACTTTTTTTTTTTTCCCTGAGCTTGGCCACTCTATTTACTGCCGGGTTATGTTCCTCATAATACATAATGGATGCAATTTTGAGCCATAGAGAAGTAATTTAGCATCAAGAAAGCTGTGAAAACCAGAGTGATAAAGTGGACTTTGGGGTCCTGTTTTCCTTGTCTGACAAATGTTTGAACATTTTCTTCATGAAAAGCCCAGCTCAGTAGCCAAAGCTCACATCCATTATGGTTACTCTGTCTTTATAAAAACTAAACAATTTGCCATGAAATACGGTACATTGGCCACCAAGGCTGGCCTAGAGAAGGCCTAATTTTTTACTAAGCCTTCTTGAAGAAAATGGATGCTAGGAAGCTCAGGCAAAATTGTGATACGTATTTTTGTCCATAGTTCTAACAAGTGGTCTCCAATGGGGTGAACATTTTGCTGTCCATGAAGAAAAGGGGATAAGATTTTGAACGAGATTGTTTCCACCAGACCAGTAATTCTAGTTGCAATCATGCTGCCTGGGGAATTCTGGGAGTTGAAGTCCACAAGTCTTAAAGTTGCCAAGGTTGGACATCCCTGATTTATGAGGAGATGTTGCGTCTCCATTTGCTTAGGGGAAAAGAGAGAAGGCCACGTTATGATTGGCACCCAAGCATATGAAGAGCTTATCCTTCAACCTCTGAGGAATAGTGCCAACAGGTCATGGTTAAAACCTGAGATTGATTATTTTTTTTTATTCTGAGGGAGTGGGGAAAAAACAGGAATAACCTGACTTCTTTTTATCCTATGAATTTTTACATTATCAAAGCACCCATTTGTGATTATGAGCAGAAACTCTTATCATCTGATATACGAAACAGCTTAGAGTTTAACTCGTCTGACCTATTATGTCTAAGATCTTGAACAGACTTCTATCAAATAAAATGGAATTTTAAAATATACATAATAAAAGTTTTAAATAGGCAACTCCAATTTGCAGGGGGGTGGAAGACCCCAGACCCTGTTTCCAAGCGTATTATTGACTGTCAGTATCTCAATTCTTTTCCCTGTAGTTTTGCTGGAAAGATAGAATGCAACATATTAAGTCCACGTCTAGACTTAATATGTTTTTTTTTAAAGAAAAAAGAAAAACAAGAATTGAAATAAATTCTTAATACCTCCCCATTATTTATTACATTAAATTATTAAATTTATTGAATGCACATGCCACTGAATCATTGAAATTCCTGCCAGCTTACAAGGATAAATAAAACATACCCGGTATAAAAAGAAAAATAGAGTAAAATCTCCACAATAAGACAGGAAAAATAATGCATAACCCCTAACACACATAACACATAGCAACTCCTAATAAGTCAAAAAACCAAATTATTAGGTGTAACAGAAAATAATAAAAAAAATAATAATAATTGTGGCTAAAAGCTAAGCCAACGCTAACTTCCAAAACAAGTCAAAATCTCCTTGTGTCCATCATCCTTCCCTAAAATATTCAGTGCAGCTCTCACTACTCAGGAGTTACTTCCAGCTGCCTTAAATCCTTAATATACAGAAGAGACCTTTTGGTCACCAAAATCTATTTTTTGCTGCAACTGAAATTTATCCCAGTATATTTTTGCATCAGGTTATGCTATTTCCATTCTGCAAAGATAATTAGCTTTAAGATGATGCATTACTCTCTACCTTAGAGTTAGATTTTGGGAACAGAAGGAGGAAGAGGAGCCAACTAGGTTTGTAACTATAATTTGGTTTAAAAAAACCCTGACCAGTCACCCTTTGCAGGAGAAATGAAATAAAACTAACATTACAGGCTTATAAATATCCAGATATGTGCTTCAAAAATAGCTAGCTTCCCTTGACAGCTAAAACTTATTTTCCTGTACCTGCTTATCGTAACTTGAATTGGTATCGAGTATTGCTGGATTAAATTAATTCCGCAAAAGGAATGAATGATGGATGCTAAATAAAAACCACCAAATATTACAAACTGATAGTGCCGTTCTCTTGGAATTAAAACTTAAAACCTGTTTGTTAGTGAACTTAAAAAGACTTCCTAAAAATTCTGCTGTACGTCGCTGTCGTTGCCAAATCTACTCGATGGACCTTAAGGACTGTCTTGTTAATATGTAAAAAAGTGTTTCCACAACTTTAATTGTAAATGATCTCCAGCTCAAATAATTGTACAGATGGGAAAATAGAAAGCAAGAGAAGGTTTGTGCACAAATGAGGGTGCATTCTTTGGTTGAGGGGAGCATGCCTGCAAGATTATCGGTCGTGCATACAGCCACAACTTCATCATTGTACACCTCCCTTATCTTGGGAGGGGGAGTGTCCAATATTTATATTTATATATATATATGATATATGATCTATAAACCTTTGATTTTTTTCCCCCTCCCTTGAAAATCCACCAAGCCAATAAATCCTTTTCAAAGTCTCCTGTTGCTTGGATATTAGTCGGAATGCAATATAATATAACGTACAATATTATTGTGTTGTACATTGTGTAAACAGTACAGGTACTCCTCGATTTACAACCAGTAAATACTTTAACAACCGGTTCTCTGCCCTAATGACCGACTGGGTGGGCGTGACTACGGTGGGCGTGGCCAGGAGGTGTGACAAGCAGCACTCAGTCTCCTGCACCCCCCTCCGAGAGTAAAACAGGCCGCGGGGGGGAACGCACCGCCCCTCCTCCCGTGCTCTGTTTTGGGCCTAGGAGGCCTCTCTGCACTTAACTGGGAGCCAAAACAGGGCACTTGGGGACTCCTGGAGGGAAGGGGCCAGCCAGCAATTTAATTGCCGGTTCACCCGAACTGACTGAATCCCACCACTGCTTAAAACCCTTCAGTTAGTGACTGTTCAAACTTAACAATAGTACTGAAAAAAAGTGACATGACTGTTTTTTACACTTATGACTAGCACCAGCTCCATGGTCACATGATCAAAATTCAAATATTTATTTATTTATTCAATTTATATGTCGCCCCTCTCCAAAGACCCAGGGCGGCTCACAATACACTCAAAAAATCACTATAAAAACATGTAAAAATTAAAAACATTAAGACATTAAAACTCATTCACACCATTCATGGCCGGATCGCAAGAGCGAGATCAACGGCCCCAGGCCTGCCGGAGAAGCCAGGTCTTCACTGCTTTTCGGAAGGCCAATAGGGAGGGGATGGTCCGGACCTCAGGAGGTAACTGGTTCCAGAGAGCTGGGGCAGCCACAGAGAAGGCCCTCCCCCGCGAGCCCGCCAGCCGGCATTGTTTAGCTGACAGGACCCGGAGGAGACCAACTCTGTGGGATCTTACCGGTCGCTGGGAGATATGTGGTAGAAGGCGGTCTCGAAGATACTCAGCAGCTGGTACATATTTATGACGGTCGCAGTGTCCCGGGGTCGTGTGATCCCCTTTTGCGACCATCTGACAAGCAAAGTCAATGGGGAAGCCAGGTTCACTTTACAACTGTGTTACTAACTTAACAATTGCCATTATTCACTTAATAACCAAGGAAGGCCGTAACATGGGGCAAAACTCACTTAACAACTGCCTTGCTTAGCAACAGCAATTTTGGGCTCATTTGTGGCAAGTCGAGGACTACCTGTATACAGTAGAATTTAATACAGGTAATCCTCGACTTACAACAGTTCATTTAGCAATCGTTCAAAGTTACAACGGCGCTGAAAAAAGAGACTTCTGACCGTTTTTCACACTTAGGACCGTTGCAGCATCCCCATGGTGACGTGATTTACATTCGGACGCTTGGCAATTGACTCACATTTACGACAGTTACTGTGTCCCGGGGTCATGTGATCCTCTTTTGCGACCTTCTGACAGGCAAAGTCAATGGGGAGACCCAGCTTCACTTAGCAACCGTTGTAACTCATTTACCAACCGCAGTGATTCACTGAACAAATGTGGCGAGAAAAGTCGTAAAAACGGGTTCGAAGCTCACGTAACAAATTTCTCACTTGGCAACGTAAATGTTGGGCTCAATTGTGGTCGTACGTTGAGGACTACCTGAATTCCTCTTTATCAGTCATGATACAATTGTGAAAATTATTATTTTTTGCACTGGGAGAGGGGTCAGAAAGCTTCTGAAGCTTTTGAAAAGCGAGCTGCCAGTTCAATGAATCCGGGTGCGCTACAGACACTAATGCCAAGCATAACAATGAACCAATCAAAGGGACATTGGAAAGGAACGCCATGCTTTCAACGTTGAAAGGTTACCCTCCCTAAATTCCAGACGGCATAGAATTGACAGGAATGCTAAAAGTATTTTAAAATATGGCTTCACGGTCAAAGAAATCTGTTGTGTTTTTTCAGATTTTATTTTTCAATGGGATTTTTTTTTTTCTTGAAAGAATAGATGCTGGGCCTGGTGGCTCAGCAGACTAAAAGCATTGTGATTAACACCAGCTGTCTGCAATTACTGTAAGTTCGAATCTCACCAGGCTCAAGGTTGACTCAGCCTTCCATCCTTTCTAAGGTAGGTAAACTGAGGACCCAGTTTGTGGGGGCAATAAGCTGACTTTGTATAAATATACAAAAGTATGAAGGCTATTGCTTAACACATTATAAGCCACCCTGAGTCTCCGGAGAAGGGCAGCATATAAATCAATTTTTTTAAAAAAACCTGAAATTTAAAATGAGAGAGCTACAGTCAGCGGTGGACTGCTGGGGGTTCGCAGGTGTTCGGGAGAACCTCTAGCTAAGATTTTGTGCAGTTCAGAGAAACCCCAAATCCCACTCCTGGCTGGCCTCACCCACCTCGCCCCTCCTAGGAGTTCCCACACGGCCCGTTTTGGGTGCAGGTAAGTGCAGGGCGCACGTGGAGGCTCAAGGAGGGCGAAAAACGGGCCTACCAGAAGTTCGGGAAGGCTGGAAACGAGGCCATTTCTGGCCTCCAGAGGGCATCTGGAGCCTGGGGAGGCCGTTTTTGCCCTCCCAGAGGCTCGAGGAAAGCCTCTAGAGCCTAGGAAGGACAAAAATGCCCCCCCCCCCCCCGTCGTGGTGCAGGAAGCTGACTAAGCCAGTTGTCAGCAACCTGCGGCTCCAGAGCCACACACGGCTCTTTGGGCCCTCTGCTATGGCTCCATGTCAAGTGATCCCACCACTGGCTGGCCCTGCCCCTCTCCCTCCCCTCCCAGTCACTCCTTGCCTGGCCTGAGAAGGTAAGGGTGATGGCGGGAGATGGAGAAGTGGCCAGGGCGGAGACAGATATAGAGAGGGGGAGAGAGATAGACATAGAGAGATACAGAGCGGGAGGGGAGGGGAGAGGGAGGGAGGGAGAGAGAGAGAGATGTCAAAAGGGTTTTGTGGCTCCTGGTATTTTCTTTTCTGTGGGAAATGGGTCCAAATGGGTCTTTGAGTGTTTAAGGTTGCCGACCCCTGGACTAGGCCATGCCCATCATGGCCACGCCCACCTAGCAACCGGGCAGAGAACCCCTTGCTAAAATTTTTGAAGCCCACCCCTCGCTACAGTTAGGCGTCAACAATCAAATCCACGTGTGAAGAGTTCAATTGGCTATTTTGTTGCTCATGCTCTTTACACAGAAGTTTTCTGTACCCCGGTGTTTTGCACTTGGACCTGATTCTAGATAAGGTTTAACATCATTCAAGTGAAGTTGGTCCTTGCCCTTTTGTGCCTACATAAGGATTCCAGGCAGTGGTGAAATCTAAAATTTGTTACTATTTGGTTCTGTGGGCGTGGCTTGGTGGGGGTGGGGGTAATGTGATGGTGGGCGTGGCCAATTTTTTTTTTTACTTTTAAAACTATTTTTTACATGTAAAACCATGTAAAAAAATGCTTTCAAAAGGCTCCGACGATCCCAGCTGAGTTGCCTGATCATCAGAGAGTTTTTAAAAAACTGACTGGGATTGTCAGAGCTTGGATCGTCAGAGCCATTTAAAAGAAAAAAAAGTTTTTTTCTTTTAAATGGCTCTGACGATCCAAGCTGAGTTGCCTGATCGGCAGAGCTTTTTAAAAAACTCAGCTTGGATCGTCAGAGACATTTAAAAGAAAAATAGGGATTTTTTCTTTTAAATGCCTCTGATGATCCAAGCTGAGTTGCCTGATCGGCAGGCAACTCAGCTGGGATCGTCAGAGCTTGGATCGTCAGAAGCATTTAAAAGGAAAAAAAGCTTCTGATGATCGTGTGGCTCAGCTGGGCATGGGGGGCAGGGGCAGGGATTTTTGCTACCGGTTCTCCGAACTGCCCGCCACCATCGCTACCTACTCGCCCGAGCCGGTCCGAACCGGGAGCATTTCACCCCTCATTCCAGGCTAATTCCTTGCTTGACCCAGTGGTCTTCAATGTCTTTATAAACGACTTAGATGAGGGACCAGAAGGGGAACTCATCAAATTTGCAGATGACACTAAGCTGGCAGGAAGAGCCAAACACCCAGAAGACTAGCTCAGGATCCAAAAAGATCTTGACAGATTTGAACAAGGGGCCCTATCCAACAACATGACATTTAATGTGGAGAAAAGCAAGGTTTAAAACCTAGGCAGGAAAAACAAAGGTACAAGTACAAATTCGGCGAAATCTGGCTCAAAAGCAATAACTCTGAGAGGAAACTTGGAGCCCTAGAGGACAATCACTTCAGTGTGCCGTAGCAGCCAAAAAAAGCTAATACAATCCTTGGTTGTATAAACAGGCATAGAAACAAAATCATGTGACGTGTTAGAATCGCTTTATAAAGCCTTAGTAAGACCAGACTTGGAATACTGCCTCCAGTTTTGGTCACCATATTACAAAAAAGATGTTGAGACTTTGGAAAAAGTGCAAAAAAGAGCAACTAAATTGATTAAAGGCCTGGAGACTAAAACATATGAAGAACGGTTGCAAGAACTGGTCATGTCTAGTCTAGAGAAAAGAAGAAAAGAGGGAAATCAACTTATTTTTCAAAGCACCAGAAGGAAAGACAAGAAACAATGGATGGAAACTGATCAAGGAGAGAAGCAACCTGGAATTAATTAATTAATTAATTAATTAATTAATTATATTTCTATACCACCTTTCTCCCGTAGGACTCAAGGCGGTGTACAGTCAAGAAAAACATAGACACACAAGCACCACAAAATTGCTAATTAAAATTGCCACTTAGTTTGGTCAATTAAATAAAACCCAGAATTAGATAACATTTAAAAAATCATTCGCATGTTTGTATGTTTAGCCCTGCCTGTTGGAACATCAGGGTCTTGAGGGCACGGCGGAAAGCACGGAGATCAGGGATATTCCGTATCTCCGGGGGCAGTTCATTCCAAAGGGTTGGAGCCCCCACAGAGAAGGCCCTCCCCCTGGGAGTCGCCAGTCGACATAATTTGGCTGACGGTACCCTGAGTAGTCCCTCCCTGTGAGAACGAACTGGTCGGTGGGAGGCTATTGGTGGCAAAAGACGGTCTTGTAGGTACCCAGGTCCTAAGCCAT